GAGAATGGGATTATCGACAATCCGAACGGCCCTCCTCTGTATGGAGTCAAATGGAAGAAGCTGGTATTTGGGAGCCCCGGCCCAGAGATGGGAGCAGTACTCCATGCGAGGCCGGACTTGTGCTTTATAAAGCAAAAGTCTTTGTCCAGGCGTGAAGTACCGCTTCGCTCTGTTAAGGACTCCCAGCATTTTGGACGCCAACTTGGCTTTGCCTTCCAAATGACTCCGAAACTGGACATCGCTCGAAACGTCGACCCCAAGTATCCCGATACTCTCGGAAGGTTGCAGGGATACTCCTTGGAATTGCGGCGCCATGACAAAGGGGTCCTTCTTCGCAGTGAACGCGCAAACTTGTGTCTTTATCGGGTTGAATTGAACCAAGTTCAATTCACCCCATTCGGAGACTCGCCCCAGAGAGTTCTCCATCTCCAGAGAGTTCAGTATCTCATGATGGCAGGAATTGTTCGAGAGATCCACATTATTTATTCTTTTTTTTTTATTGCTCAGATGGGTGGACGAGCTCACAGACCACCTGGTGTTAAGTTACTGGTACTGGAGCCCAAAGACATCTACAACGTAAATATGCCACCCACCATGAGATATAAGTTCTAAAGTCTCAGTATAGTTACAACGGCTGCCCCACCCGTCAAACCGAAACGCATTACTGCTTCACGGCAGAGATAGGCAGGGCAGTGGTACCTACCCGTGTGGACTTACAAGAGGTCCAACCACCATTAAAAAATATATGTAGGTATTATAATAATATGTAATATGTTGGTATTGTAAAATATATTCTTTCAGGGTTCCGAAACAGTATTGTTCTGTGCCACAGACCACAGTCTTGAAGGGAAATCGGGCCGGTTTTACCGCGACTGTGTCGAATACGACACCAAGTATCCATTTGACAGGGCCGTGGAGAACAAACTGTGGGAGGTCAGCGAGGACCTGATCAAAGCCAGGAAGCCGCTGTGAATCCGAAAATACGTCCAATGACACGTCATCTCGAATCGGTCGATCTGTTTCGTATTTTTATACCAAAATTATAAATTAACTAGCGACCCGCCCTCGCTTCGGTTCGGAAACATGAAATTTTATTATTGATTATTTACGACATCACATTAGCAACCTCAAAAATAACAGTATTTCTCCACTATTTAGTGGATGTTATTATACATATAAACCTTCCTCTTCAATCACTCTATCTATTAAAAAAAAGCCGCATCAAAATCCGTTGGGTAGTTTTAAAGATTTAACCATACATAAGGATATAGGGACAAAGAAAGCGACTTTGTTTTATACTATGTAGTGATTAAATCAATTAATTCACAAAAAGAAACCGAAAAAGCGCTTCAAAATTTCGGGCATTTTCGTAAGATTTAGATAGACCTTAATGTTATAAGAATAGCAACTAAACTTGTATGACACTTTAAAATAAATAACATTATTAGCGATTGTAAAGGTGTTTTGTTTGGCGTACGAAAATATAGTTTATATACACGGTGTAGTGGCCAAATCGTGGTGTAGTAATTTGTTTTAGGGAAACCACGTTTGTGGCACGATTATACTTATAATGAATTCTAAGCAAATTCTATTGCTAACTTATGGAATCCATTTTAAATATGGATGGTAAGGTAATGGTGTCCAATAAAGATATATTATATTCATATTAAGATGACGTTGCTATGAAAGTGCCAATATTTAAAGACAGCATCATGACAATGTTGTCTCAGGTATTAAATTTGGATAAACAGCGTTATCAAATCTATATTTATAACTATACTACTACTTGTTACTCGCGGCTTCGCTCGCGTGGTCAAGGAAAAGTGTAAATTAATTTTTCTATATTAATAAAACAGTTTCATGTGGGAATTGGATGTTTTTTTCGGGATAAATGGTAGCCTATGTCACTTATCTATTACTTTCCGTTTCTTCGGTTCGGTGTGTGAAAGAAGGACAAACAAACATACATACTATCACATATTGCACCTTTCGAATTGAAGTTGGCTTAATCCAAAATTCTTGTTTTTGGGTAAATGCTAAAAATGTAATTAAAGAATTGAAGACAATTTCTCAGTGCGATTTTAATAATTTAAGCCTTAAAATGCATACCTTAAAGTTTAAAGTACCCGCTTGATTTAAAAGGGACAGAAAGTGTACTTTGTCCTTTTCTAGATAAAAAATTAAAATTAATTTTTAATTTTATTGTAGGTACATAAGCCGCTCAAAGTATAAAACTACTTTTTTTTTCAAATTTTTTGTTATGTCACTTCAATTCTAAAAGTGCGATATATAATTTTAAATTAGATTTACTGTACATAAAACATACAGTATAATTATGTATTATTATTTTTTACATTTTTATGCGTTCTAAGTATCAAGGTTATCATCTATCTTTTTTTTTTTTTTTTTTTTTCTACCTATGCTGATAGCCTTGAGAGGCTATTTCAGCTTCACCCTAACGTTAGTAGGTGAGCTCGCGGGGCTCAACCGGAGAGTTGCTAACACTGACCCTAGCAAGAGCAGTGCTTCGCAGAATCTACCACCGGATCGGAAACGCGACCCACTGAGAAGATCCGGCGAGAAACTCAGTGGGCTGTGTCTATGGGTTAGTTCGCTCGTCGAGCCCTTCGTCGCAAGCGACGGGTTCGACGAGGACGGTGACCGGTGCTTGTGGTGCCTAAAAGCACCGTTAATGGATCAGGAGGATCCGTAATGACGTGCTTTGGGCGACGTCGACGGTTTACCATTCGGTCTACTGGGTCGGGTATGTAATTTCCAGCGGCTACGATGAGAGGGTTCTCATGTCGTGCCGCCTTCTCAAAATGGCGCAGCATCTATCTTTAATGAGTTTTAGCAAACTACAAAAACAGAGCAATAATATACAAAAATAATGCATTACATAAGTTCTAAAATGTTGAAAGATACATTTATTATCAATTTATAAAATTCGCGTTCTATTATGTACGTTATATTTGAGAGGTTTTATTTTGTTCTCAGATAATTAATTCACTATTATTCGGCTTATTTCTGGCAGCTCTGTTCTTTAATATGGCAACATTTGAATTTTTGACAACTGGTCGTTTAATGGTTTTAATATGACATTTCTTACAATTCCAGTTTTATCAATGGTGTCCCCTCCTGAATACGCGATTTTTATTTTGTAGTTTTAGGCGAATATAGGTCGATGTATGGCTTTTAGTTGTATAATGTTAAAATAAATATATTATTTATATGTAAATAACAAAATTAAAGGTGTTTTCGATGTTTTATTAATAAAAAAAAAAAAAAAAAAAAAAAAAAAAAAAAAAAAAAAAAAAAAAAAAAAAAAAAAAAAAAAAAAAAAAAAAAAAAAAAAAAAAAAAAAAAAAAAAAAAAAAAAAAAAAAAAAAAAAAAAAAAAAAAAAAAAAAAAAAAAAAAAAAAAAAAAAAAAAAAAAAAACAATCTAAAGAATACGTGTTTGATTTTTTTTTGTTTATCTACCTATGCTAGTTACCTCGAGGGATTATTATACTAGGTTCACCGAACGTGTAAGCGACTAGCCCTAGAGAGCTAACTAACACTAGCCCTAGAGAGGGCAGTGCTTATAGTCGGATTTTTAATTAGACGAAGCCAGCTGACAGTAGCTAATGTCACTTTGTGAAATAATGTTGCTATATTTAAAGTAATAGTGATGCGTTCAGTTCTCGTTCAATCACATAAATGAACAATGAGTGTGAAGAGTTAATCATTAATTTCAAACTATAAAAGAATATTATTTATATTTTACAATAAAATTGTATTAAAGTGNAGTCGGATTTTTAATTAGACGAAGCCAGCTGACAGTAGCTAATGTCACTTTGTGAAATAATGTTGCTATATTTAAAGTAATAGTGATGCGTTCAGTTCTCGTTCAATCACATAAATGAACAATGAGTGTGAAGAGTTAATCATTAATTTCAAACTATAAAAGAATATTATTTATATTTTACAATAAAATTGTATTAAAGTAATCCAATATAATAATATGTTACTAGTAGTATGTAACTACAATCAGTTTTTTTTTATTTTCATTACCTATGTACCTATAATTGTTATATTTTATACATCTATAGTTTCAACTATTAGATGCATTGGAAATAGGACAGTCTTACAAGCTTCCTCGCAATGTTTTTCTTAATGTTTAAAACACTCGGTATTCAGTACAGGTAGATACCATAGGAACATAATGTTTCGTCGAAAACTCGTTGATATGTACAAGGCACGGCTAAAATTCGAACCCCGTGCCCGATATCGGCAGTTCGGCACACTAACTATTCACTAGACAATCGAGGCAATTTCATTAATTCAGGAGTTTTTTCAATTGTTCACTTTGTCACAACACTATTTTTATTTCATCAAAAACTGACAACACAGTAAACGTCAGTTTACTTCGTCTAATAAAAAATCCGACTATAGTTGAATATATTAGCGAATCGAAATCGCGACCCACTGAGATGATCCGGTCAGAACCTCAGAGGGCTAACTGTTTGAAGAATAACGAATGAACACGAATAATATTCATTCTGTTGAAGGATTTAAAATAAACGACAAAAATGGAATTGAGAGTATTTATTTTACTAACAAGCATTAAATATAACAACAAGGATTCCTTAGATCGCAATTAATAAATATAACGATATAGTCAATGTTGATTTACTTCACACTATCCTCCAATAATCCGATGCGATTCTTATACATACTTATTCTCCAGTATTATAAATAAGGGTGTAATTTTCAAAAAAAAAAAAAATCCAATGTATATTACTTAATTAACATACAATTGTTTTGATGAAATTCACATTTAAGTATTCGAACTCATTGCTACACCAAATCGAGAGAACGAAACCTAAAAGGGACTTTATGTTTTAAGTACATTTACAAGTATTCTAATGTCAAGTTTACGTCAATAACAATAAAGTTCAATATTAAGCATGGAAAACGTATAATACTAAAAAAAAAATCTTTGCATTTCTACGAGAATGTGAAATGGCGTAATTTCAATATATCGAACACTGATTTGCTTAAGACGTTATTCAGTCGCTTATTACGCTGATATAGTTGCGATTTGGTAGGTAGACGCGATTTCGCGCGTCTGTGTGTCGCGCGCTTAACATTTCACGTATGGCGTGATGAGTTTTCTAGTAGGCATGTGGTGCGACAAATTCAATAAATCCTTCTCACATTTTAAAATTATGATTGGAATAGATGGACCAAATGTTTTATATTCCACCAGGTCAATCGCTTTTTTTCTCATTTTGTCAATGAGCATTTCAGTGCCGAATTTATTTAGTTACGCTGTTTCTATATCGACGCTTGAAAGACAAACATGACGAAGCGACAATGCGTGAACTTTACAGTAGGCTAATTTAAAGTTGAAATACCTGAAAAAAATCTATTTTAACGAATCTAGCTGTAGGATTGAAATTATTTTAATAGACCTAGAAATATATTTTTTTTGCGCATCGAATATGGTTATTGCCTATCATTTATGTACAAAGCAGTTATTGTCGCTTAAGCTGTAAGCGTCGATATATTTTTGAACACGTCCACCCGCGGGCACTGTTGAGTGCGTACTGGACCATAGATTATACAATATATACATACTTAATATTTATGATACTGGACGTAAATGCAACGCGCGATCAGAATCGCAAATGCAAAAGCCGCTTTAAAAATTAAACTTAAACATTTAATGTACACAACTGATTGTTAAAAAAAAAAAAAAAAAAAAAAAAAATGTATGTGATTTAAAAATGGAATGCTAGATGTAGTTTCATACAGCCCAATCATATACAATGATAATATCTCAAATTTGTTAACTAGTTAATGCACTCGATATAATACTATCGATAAAAATAAAGTTATCGGCAAAAACACACCCCTAAAAGTTTTCTATGGTCTAATATAATAAATACCCTTTGACATTAGTCAGGTTAATAGGCATGTGAACTAAAAAAAAAAACAACTCTAGATACATTATATTAAATTATATTACATAGATGTAAGATATTATATTATATTTAGAAATCATGTATCACGTATGTTTCCTAATTTTTTTTTGTGTGGGTAATTCAATACTGCTTAAGTTTTATTACATAGTTTTCCGATAATTTATTACACACATATTATAAAACCAAATACAAAATTTACATAACATTATAATATTGTAAGTATCATCATTTAAACATATACATAATATATTTTATTGATCATTCTGATATGCACGAATTCGACATTATCGGTACACAACAGTTAGCCAATGACGTAACATTGTAACAACGTCAAATATATATAAGTAAGTAAGTTTTCTAAATAATATTTATTTCTTTTTAATGTCATTTTGGGATGATCCATTTAAAATTATCCATATTTAATATTTTAATTAGTGTAAGTCATAAAAATAATAACATTACATTTTAATAGCATTACTGCATCTACGCCGTGAAAAAAAATACATCAAAAGGTATTTTTTAGAATAGACTAACAGCCGGTAATTCAATAAATTTTCTAATTTTAATAAGGCCTAATTATTAATTAGTAAGAGAGGTAGAATGTTCCCATTTTATTGCTTCATGTGCACTCCTTATTGCATACTTACCTCTATATGTTAATACTAATGTTTTTTTTTAAATCTTTTTTTCTACTTGTATATTCAATATACTTACGTCACAATCTTAAATGCGTCACATAAAATGAAAACGATGGAGCAAATTTAATTAAAATTAAAAGCATTTTTATATTTTATGACCGTACGTTTTAGACAGTTTTTTTTATGGTAATGAAAATCGTGCGCTCGACAAAGTCATTAAAGATAACTTGTTTCTGAACTTTGTTATCGAACATATTCTTCAAAGAGAACGCTTCTATGATCCTCAAGGATCGACTACATTATCCTGCTTCATAGACTTTTCAGTCACAAGTAGTGTAGACGTTACAATGTCTGTCGTCATTAGGTTATTTTTTACGGAGCGCATTTAAATTAAAATCCCATTAACTTCATTGGTCAAAGTAAAATAATTGAGATAGTCGATAAAAAGGATTTCGTTTTTCAATTACCAACAACAATTACCATTACAGGTATAAAATGATAAAGCAATTTATAGACCAAGAGCTAACTTAGTTTAGTTTAATTTTTCCTACTTGTAGAATCGTGCAGAGTAATGTGTGAATCAGTAAGTAAAAAAAAATTGTATGTCCGTTGCTACGTGAGCAATACGACAATTTTCACTGACATCTTATGAGCCCGCAAGGGTAAATACACGTAGTGTGTTTCGATTTTAAGGGTGAAGCAAATGTTGTTCTTTACAAAATGATCTTAGAACTCATGTCTCAAGGTGAAGGCCGGTATTTATGTTGTTGTCTATAGGCTCCGTTTAAGCAGTTAACACAAGTGTGTTTAGTGTGAGTTTTCTAACGTTCTCGACAGCGTAAAAGTTGGAGTTGGAACGTTTGCCTACGTTTGCCGCTAGGGGCGCTGTTCCAACTGAATACAAATTTGAGTTAACTTTTACGTTATCGAGAACGTTAAAGAACTCGCACTAAGCACACAGGTGAACCCATCTAAGCAATTAAAAAGCTGCTCGCTCATCTCACCCGGCACGCATCCTGTCACGGAACGTAGCTTTTAAGATCTTAGTCTGGCAACACGGTCTTAGAAATGTCGGACTTGTCAAAAATATGTCAAAGGCTGTAGCTTTCTATTTTTACTTAATATTGTAAATGTGCTAAATACACGATCATACAGAAGAAAATGTCGTATGAATCATTAGCAAGTATTTTCCCTCAAGATCCGTCACACACCCCTTTGACACATTCTAGTATTAAGCTGAACGCAACAAATCTAGTTTGTTTATAGCTTATCTTGATTAGCTTATCTCTTGATCTACAACCGGCTTTAAACTTGATGTAGGTACGTAAAAAAATATCTTAATATTATCGAGTAGGTAAATAAAAAAAAATATAAATATTGTTTACAGTACTGTAATAATACCAATGCATTAGAAACGTCAATTACGAGAAGTCGTGAAAATACTACATGGTCACATTAAACATAGTCAAAGTCACAAAAAATGCACCCGTATTTCGGGAATAAAGCCTTCGTCAAACAGAACGCGTAATTAGCGCGCGTCATACCGCTAAGCTGACGGCGCGCTGTGACGCCGAGATGTGTTGTACTACTATGGTAACATAACGTCAAACAGAGCCCCAGCGCTATAAGTACGCAGCGCTCTGTCACGGCGTTAGGACGCTTTGACGCCAGGCGTTGTAATTTTTTACAAATTTTATTTTAGCGTCCGAGTGAATGTGTATTACAATACTAGAGAATGCCCGAAAAAATGATATAAATAGTTAGAAAATACCTATGCTTATACAATGCCACACCTTTTTTTTTTTTTTTTTTTCGGGTAGAGGGCCGAACCTCCTACGAGGTCCCCGCGCAAAAGGGGCGCGCGGGGTATGTGAGACTCAACAATCTGCATGGTGTTGTGAGCAGACCGCGGGCCCAAGGATTTTAGAGCCCACCCACTAAACGACTCCCCTGCACTCTTACACCCGACGTCCGATCCCCTCCGAGGTCAGAACCCGGATGAGGTAGGGGGGGCTACCGCGGTCAACACTACAACCAGACGGCGCGGCTCACCCCAAGGACGCCCAGCCGACGGAGCCTTCGAGGCGAATCGAAGGCTCTGAAACGTCGGCCGTCTCGGTACGGCAGCCCGTCGGGCCGCCCAGACGGTGCCGCTGGTGTCCCGGAATACCCCGCTGGACCAGAACCAGCCTGCCGGGTCGGGACGCGATACACCGTCGACCGGTCGCTCTATTCACTCCACGGCAGCGCGCTAGAGTGCTGGTAGCGCGCCGCGCGGCCTCACCCCCTCAGGTCGCCCCTTGACCTTCACCGGGGGGAGGCCGCCACCTACAGGGGCCGGGACGTACGGGCGTATTCCCGCCTCCGGCCCCCGGCTCGACGGCGACGGATCGGTGCGGAAAGGGAAGAGCTCTCCCTCTCTCGCTCCGCCGCCTCCTTCTGCGAGATGGTGGACTCGCAGAAGTCGAGCATCGCCTTCCAGGACGCGTCGCTGCCGAGCATCGTAGCCACGACGCGCGGCAGCGAGAGGTATACAATGCCACACCTGAATCACTCGATTTTTTTTTTATTGCTTAGATGGATGGACGAGCTCACAGCCCACCTGATGTTAAGTGGTTACTGGAGCCCATAGACATCTACAAGGTACATGCGCCACCCACCTCGAGATATAAGTTCTAAGGTCTCAGTATAGTTACTTAAAGTTTCTTAATACTTTTAAATTTTCACACTGCTATCGAAAGGCACTATGATTTGGCGAATGCGTTGCGTCAAAGAGCGTTAGACTCATCTAGTCATTTTGAAGAGCGCGCCGTTAAGTACGCGGCGCTAAGTACGCGTTCTGTTTGACGAAGGCTTAAAAGAAAGAACATGTTTACAAATAACACAGACACGGTCGACCTTTGTTCACACTTGCATTTCAGCAATTACTTTAACATTCATAAACGCTAGAGCAACAATAAAAATATTAGCAATCTCGTAATAGACTCGAATATACATACAACAGCTTGATTATTAACTAAAAAAATTGCATAATCATAATTAAGCTAAGCTTTTAAGCTGAATTAATTAAAGTGATAAGCTTAAATCACTGGAATACCATATTTATACTTTCTTTTAAAAAAAAACCATGATTATATCTACATTAAAAAACTTATTTAAAAAAAAGCAATAGAGTCCCTTAAAATGCGTGCCAATTTATGAAAATAAACTTTTTTTTTGACATAGATTTTGTGTAACGATGCCTAATCTGAAATCAATGTACATTTTGTGTGTCATAAAGTAAGTTTCTGTACAGTGTGCTTAGTGACAGTTTTTTAACGTTCACGATAGCGTTAAAGTTAATTCAAATTTGTATGCAGTTGGAACAGCGCCCCTAGCGGCAAACGTCGGCAAACTATCCCATTCCATACAATAACTTTTACGCTATCGAGAACGTTAAAAAACTCACACTAAGTACACTGATCAACTTTTAGTGGACTCAACGAATGTTACCGCTAACTATTATACACAATCAAAGGACGGTTCAATACTATTAATTTAAGAGTTATGCTAATATTTATATATTACCTAATGTAATAATACAAATATGGTCGCATTACACGACTATATACCACGCAACCTCTGTACTGTTTCCAAAACAAAAACGCAATAAATAAAATATAATCTCTTTGGTTTTTTCTCTAAATTTTTTATTTGTTTTTCTATTGCGAGAAATATTTTTTGTAAGATTTACAATTTAGCTAACTTATGTTCAGGGGCCATATAGGTCCGACATAGTGCGCGCGTCACACAAAAACGACTTGATATTTTTTTCTTTTTTTAGTTTACCTTCTTAAGACACTTTGTATTTACATATAAATAACACGATATATATTATATCCACTTGGTATACCGATATTAGATTGTTAAGAAACTATACGCGTTTACAGTATTACACGATAGATGGCGTTATTAGTTTCCTGAATCGCGCTATGACGATTTACGTTTGTTCACGTGAAGTCGCGGGTGAAGGCTGGTTCTGACCCAGCGGGATATCTCGAAACACCAGCGGCATCGCTCGGGCGGCCGTCGGGTGTAAGAGTGCAGGGAAATCTCTAAGTGCGGTAGGATCCTAAAATTCCTCGGGCCCGCGGTCTGCTCCCAACATTTGCAGATCGTCAAGTCCCACATACCCCGCCCGCCCCCTAGGCGCGGGAACCTCGTAGGAGGTTCGGCACCCAGCCCGAAAAAAAACAGGCTGATTTGAATTCAACTTCACGCGGATCGGTAGGTGAACTCATGGACTCAACCTGAGATAATTTTCTAACACTAGCCCTAGCAAGAGCAGTGCTTTGCAGAGTCTACCACCGGATCGGAATCGCGACCCACTGAGAAGATCCGGCGAGAAACTCAGTGGGCTGTGTCTATGGGTTAGTTCGCTGGTCAAACTCTTCGTCGTAATCGACGAATAGGGTGTCTTGTGAGCTCGCACGAGTAGGTACCATCACGCTGCCTATTTCTGTGGAGTCGTAATGCGTTTCGGTTCGAAGGGCGGGACAGCCGTTGTACTGTAATACTGAGACTTAGAAATCATTTCTCATTTTTTCGCATTTACTTTATTGTTGTCTATTGGCTCTAGTAACCATTTAATACCAAGTGGGCGGTGAGATCGTTCATCCAGTAAAGCAAATAAATAAAAAAAGCAATCATACTGATGTGTTACTGATTAAGCACTATCAATCAGGAATTTACTGGGTTAGTGACATTTTCACAGGAATCTGTTTAATTCCTTTATATGAGTTTTTTTTTATTGCTTAGATGGGAAAACAAGCTCACAGCCCACTTGGTGTTAAGTGGTTACTGGAGTCCATAGACATCTACGACGTAAATGCGCCCCCCACATTGAGATATAAGTTTAAGGTCTCAAGTACAGTTACAACGGCTTTCTTCGGCCACCCTTCAAACCGAAACGCATTACTGCTTCACGGCAGAAATAGGCGGGGTGGTGGTACCTATCCGCACGGACTCACAAGAGGTCCTACCATCAGTAATTACGCAAATTATAATTTTGCGGCTTTGATTTTTATTACACGATGTTATTCTTCTTTCACCGTGGAAGTCAATCGTGAACATTTGTTGAGTACGTATTTTATTAGAAAAATTGGTACCCGCCTGAGATTCGAACACCGGTGCATCGCTCAACACGAATGTACCGGACGTCTTATCGCTTAGGCCACGACGACTTTAAAATTGACTTTAAAAAAAAGGATTTATGGTATTAGATACCGTTTACGGATTAAGCCATACGATCGATTTTAATATTGAAAAATTTAAAATTCCACAATCATACGTCACTTAATATAACCTCATCTTCGAAAATAACTCAACACGATATTTTTAATATCGCGATCGAAATGGTAACACGTTGGGAGACAGAAAAAACATAGCTGTCAAATAATTTGAAAAAAAATCACTCGTCCATTACAATATCATAATATTAAACGATATAGCTTTTAAAAAAATATATGTTTAAAAAAAGAAAATCATATTATATACGAGACGCGTAAACCGAAGATAATACTATTAAAAAAAAAATCACTAACAAAAAACACTTTCACAACCAATCATTCTTTGATTTCGTTTTTTTTTTTTAATTTCCAATCTTAAATTTGTTCGTAATATTATTAATTGGAACAATTTTTATTCAACAAAAATAAACACAGTACAATTTTAAAACTCCGAGCAAATAAAAGCATAATATAAATACGAAGTATCATTGTTGAACGTGTGAGATTCGTTTTTGTTTTTTTTTATCTATTTAACAATGTTATTACGAAATTAACATTTATTTAGAACGCGGCGTCCTTAAAATGCTGAAATACTCGATAATAATTTGTTCATTCGATTTTGTTTATTTGCAAAACAAAACAATACTAGTGCATATATTTTTGTTTTTTGTTATTATTATTATTATGCAGTCTGACAAATTTACGTTTCATGGAATGTTTAAAAATTAGTTTCCCTTCGATTCGTACATTTTGAGGTTCTTTATCGGCCACGAAGGCAGGACATAACAGAATCACTCTGTATTTTGTCTCACTGGGCCGGGGAAATACCGGAGGGGAATTCCGGATCTATAGAACTCCAAAAAGATAATGTCTGAATCATTTTTACATATTGTATTATAACAACAATTATTAATGTATTTTTTAAATTAATTTACTACTTTAGCCATTAAAGTTGGAAATCATTGGTTTCTATGGTAAATTTAGGAATGATAGATCGCATTTCTTTCGACTAATACAAATCGGTGAATGAGGTATGAGATGTCACGACGTTTCAAGCTTTACGGTAAAACACCGGAGCTTTTGTGCTTTTTTTTTCTTTTTCCACAGTAAGCGCACGTTATACAAGAAAACTGTGTTTTACTAACTAAAGGAATTCTAAAAATACTCTACTCTGTTGTAAGTTTCAATGTCAATGTCAAATCGCTTACTGATGTCATCTAAGCCTATGTTCCCGAACGACACTTCTGACAGGTGACAGCTGTCAACACGATCATACGTCAGTGATCCGGGAACAACACGTCGCCCGGAAACCGGACACGGTTCCGTTGCCGTGCAGCGTCACCGCATCAGGATGCTGGAACATTCCCAGCTCTTTCTCGGCTCTTTGGTCCAGATCTACCCACCTGCAAACGATTAATCTATTAATAGACTAATCCTTAAAGTTCCGCCGTTATCAGATTAAAATGATAAGATATTTTCGGACGGGATGTAAGAACACCCTTCCCGCAACGGAAACGTCAACAAACTACTTCAAAATCAAAGGAAACTATTTTCTAAGCATAATTGCTTTTAGTTTTAAAAGGTTTACATTTCATGAACCAGCAATGTATAGAGACGGTTTGTCTAGGTCGTTGACCTCGCGCATCGTTTGGGATGAATTTCTCGGTTCTCTTAAGGCAAAAAAAGGATAGGGAAGGCTACAGCTTAGTTTATCTTGGTTTTTGACAATCTTCAATATCACTATTGGTAAGGACACAGCAAAGTTGATACCTACCGATATGTTACATTGCGTCAATTGTTAAGATAAATTTTAAAATACAATGTCAGTCGCGATTAGTTGTTGTCTCAGGACTTAGCACTACGCGACTACCGTTTTCGGAAATGGTAATCTCACGCCACCTACGGTCTGACACGCCGATTAAGTCCAGCAATATTCATTTAGTAATAGATATAAAAATAGATTTCTGATTTATAATGCAATATTAATGAAACAAAAACATAGTTACAATGCTGGGGAGTAATCGGACTTAAGAAAGACAATAATCCACTAGCGTTGGCGGCTATTGAGAGCTGTTTTTTTTATGTATCGTACTATCCTTTTTTCCTAATAAAATGTCGCATACCTCTGGACCGCCATTGAGAATGCTTCGACGACATTATTATCGTTTTTAGCTGAAGTCTCTATATACGTCGATATTTTGTTATCGTCACACCACTGTTTCAGCTGATCGTGAGTCACCTCTCTGTCCTTGCTCGGCACGTCCGACTGGAAATGACGAATTACACATCTTATAAATTAAAAACGAAACTAGATTACATATCGACGCTTGAAAGGCAAACGTGACTAAGCGACAATGCGTGAACTTTACAGTAGACTAATTTAAAGTTGATATACCTGAAAAAAATTTTATTTTAACGAATCTAGCTGTAGGATTGAAATGATTTTAATAGACTTAGAAATATGTATTTTTTGCGCATCGAATATGGTTATTGCCTATCATTTATGTACAAAGCAGTTATTGTCGCTTAGTCACGTTTGCCTTTCAAGCGTCGATATGTATTTATTTTTATGGCGAGGGTTTGTTGGTATTAATTTTCATTACACGTTTTTATTGTTTCATCGTGGATGTCATTCGTGAACGTGAGTTTAGTACGTTTGCCATTACAAAAATTTATACCTGCCTGCGGGATTCGAACATCGGCATAGTCGCATCGCTCGATACGAGTACACCGGGGGTATTATATTTTAGGCCACGATAACTTTCAAAATTTTCACTAGAACGAATCTAACTTGCCTTCAAATTTTAGAAATACATTGCTGATATACACGTCATTCCTAGAATACATTATACTTTTCACAAAACATCACTGAAATATTACAATGGTTTAATTCTATAAGGGTTCAGCTATTGTGCAGATTATCGCACACGAACCCATAATGTGGATTTAACGATTTTACCAAACGTATTCATAGATAACATAGTGAATCGGTTGAAAGGGTTTAGTGCTTGTGTATAGCTCCCATGACCGCATTGTTTGGACGTGCAAACTCCACCAAACATGAAAATAACTTAGCTAATGATAATATTTTATACACGTCCTTCCTAGAATGCACTATACTTTTCACAAAGCATCACTGAAATATTACAATGGTTTAATTCTATAAGGGTTCAGCCATTGTGCAGATTATCGCACACGAACTCATAATGCGGATTTAGAGATTTTACCAAACGTATTCATAGATAACATAGTGAATCGGTTCCAAGGGCCCCGTCATGACTTACGCGAGTGTGGTGTTCGCTCACGCGGCCCGCACACACATAGACACCCTCCAATCCCTACAATCCCGCTTTTGCAGGTTAGCTGTCGGGGCTCCGTGGTTCGTGAGGAACGTTGACCTACACGACGACCTGGGCCTCGAATCAATTCGGAAATACATGAAGTCAGCGTCGGAACGATACTTCGATAAGGCTATGCGTCATGATAATCGCCTTATCGTTGCCGCCGCTGACTACTCCCCGAATCCTGATCATGCAGGAGCCAGTCACCGTCGACGCCCTAGACACGTCCTTACGGATCCATCAGATCCAATAACCTTTGCATTAGATGCCTTCAGCTCTAATACTAGGGGCAGGCTTAGGGACCCCGGTAACCGTACTCGTCGAACTCGACAAAGAGGTCGACGTGCAAC